TTTCTTAAGAGCAGATAATTCAAAATAAGAGATGTTCAAAGTATATGTCAAAATGTTTTGTTTCAAATTCTATGTGACAATATGTTTTTATTATAGAATTTCATATTTACGAAACTAGAACAATCTAAAAATGTTTGGTGATTAAAATAAATTGTTACAGTAGTTTTTTCCTGACTACTTACAAAAATGATCAGAATCAAAATCAGATTCTTCGTGATTTTAGGAAAATATTTCACAATGTAGCCAATGGTTTGCAATTAAAATAAAATACAGTAAATTCCCGAACACTTGTCGTTACGAGAGTGCTTTATTATTCAAATTTCTTTTAATTAAAATTCTCAAAGTGTTTGGCAAGAAAAAAAAAATGAAAATTTTTCATTATGATTATATATTTAAATATAAAGAATTATTAACTAATAACATCAATAAATGATTAATAATATCTTATCTAGCTACTTAAAATTACAAATACTTAAATATAGTAATAAAAAAATAAATATGATTTAACATAAACTTCGTCATGTCTTATTAAATATAACATATCATCATCTTAAATAAATAAAATGTTTAAATTATTCCTTTACATATACATTCATGCACCTTTAATTTGAAAACAAGCAAATTACACTGAGAAATAAATAATCGAGAATTTCATTTCCATATTTTCAAAATCACAAATTATGCTTTCACATTCTTAATAATTTACATGCTAAAGAATTAAAATTTAGCAAATACATAAAACTTATATCATAGAGAAAATAAACAAACCATTTTCTCTCAAATTATAAAATTTAAATTAAATTTAAATTCGAAATAATCAAATATATATATTAATATATATATGCATGCAAAATAAATGGAAAATTCATCATCATTTTACTTAAAAAATTGTAATAAGATGTTTTATAATTTCATTTGAAGCACTTACTTTGCCTTACACTTAGAAAAGTTTTATTTATTTATTTATTTAGAATCTCCTTTTTCCGCAAGATTGGTATTACGGTGTTGAGAAACCACTCGTGCTACAAGTTTCTGTAATGCGGCACCGCCAACGGATACTGTACGACGCCATTTTTCTGATATCCAAAAGACATAAAATAATGCAAAACAAATTCATTATGAAATACAATTACATGATGGAAGCCAGAAAACAGGATACAACTTAAGCCATACTCGATAGAATTTTTGGTAAATTTGTTTTTCGTATTAAAGGTGCATGATTGTACTATTTAAATTTTAATAAATAAAACTTAAGATACTATATTAAATATAAAAATTACTGTAATTACAAGCTTTACTAATAAAAACTATTCGTTCAATGTTTTCTAGCTCTTCTGGTTAGTTGTTAATGATTTTGAAAGACAGAAATGAACCGTTAACGTATAATAAAAATATGAATGAATTTGAAACAGAATTTAAATTAAACAAAATAAAATAGCAAAGTAACAAGAAAAGCATTTGAAGTGTTTTTTTTTCAAACCTTGCCAACGGAACATTGGGGAAATTTGGTCCAAAATTGTTACAATTTAAAAATCATTTTATATGCAAGCAAATGAGAGCAGACAATCCTATGATGATTAGTCAAAGCTCAAAAGCAGTAAAGCAATGGTCTTCAATGTGATGTGCATGGGCCAATTTATGGGAAAATGTGAAACTTGCTATATTTAAAATTTTAAAAACATTAAAAATACATTGAATCAATTTACATAAATATTTGCAGGAAAAATTTGTTTTGTGTTGTAAACTTATCTCACTATTACATATAATATAAAGTACTCTCTCTCTCTCTCTATGTCAAAGATTTTTTGTCTTTCAAATAATAGCTGGTAAGCTTTTATATTTTTATTAAAAAATGCGTAAAAAGACTAAAATGTCTTCACATTTTTGCCATGTCGAATCACCAGGAGCAACAGTCTTCCATTGCAGAGATGATCTTTTATTAGCGGCTACGCTGTAAGGAGTTGATTCTGACCCATTCTATTTTGTTTGGGAATTATTTTTTAGTTTGTTATTCTATTTATTTTGGGGCATTTTATTTCATTAAGGATAAACTACCACACCTCATCCAGACAAAATTCAAAAACTAACTCATCTTATTACAACTGCTGGCAGCAACCCATAACGTCATGGAACCCAGAAATGACATCTTGGGGGGGACTTCCAATGGAAGTTAAAAGAATGATCTACTCCCAAATTGCCATTGATAATCTATACTAATATTATAAAGAGGTAAAGTTTGTAAGTTTGGATGTAGGAGGTAATCTCTGAAACTACTCATCCGATTTCAAAAATTCTTTCACCAATATTTAGAATGAACCTTCAGGGTGGACATAGGCTGTATATTATTCCATTAAACATTCATATAAATTAAAAGATATCATCTAGGTAAGCGATATATTTTTGGTGTCAGCAGGTGGTGAAGGGCAAGACGCGTACATATACAAGATAGGTAACTGCACAGCGCAGTTGCATGGTCGGCAAGATATGCAATGCACGTGTCCGAACTTGTATATTATATAGATGTTGAAATTCCACTCCTGCAGAGGAGAGGAGAGGGACAAAATTAAGGCTTAACGTGAAGAACTTGGCTTCTATTATACTATTTGAGATGCGGTTTTTTGCATTTTTGATTGCGTTTTAATAGAGTACGTCAAGAAAATGTACACTAAGAAGGGATTTTTCGAAATTCCCTCCCGCAGGGAGTGTTATACATTTATAATAGATACATTTTGAGCCACAGCAACACGTGGCTGGGTACAGCTAGTACAAATTAAAAACAAAAAAGATTATTAGAATGAATGGAATGTTAACAATTAAGTATGTAAATAGGGTTGAGTGGGCTTATGCATGTAGTGTTGTCCCTATAGCACTGTAAGGAGGAGATGATGCTAAGGATTGAACAAGATTGATGAAAGGCTTTCAAAGTTCCACTGACGATAGAAGTTCTTGGTGATATTAGGCAAATTTGTAAAATTTCTTTGTGATTTTTGATATATTCTCATATTTTGCTTGTTGGGTTTTGTGGAGATAATTCTAAGATAGTTATAATTTAATTTGTAAGTTCCCAATTGTCAGGAAAGTTATGTACTGTACATATTTATTTTTTGGATTTGATAAATTATCTTTATTATATTTTGTAATTTTTTGCTAACTTCACTTCATTATTGTACATATTCAGGCTTAAACTAATAATATTTTTTCATATTATGTATAGTAATTATTTTGGGTTTTTCACTTACTAATGATTTCACTCTTATTTATTGCCTGCATAAAGTCCAGGCCTGGCACTTTCAAACCCACATTTATGTAATGCACTGTTAGGATATTATCCAGCTTTTGATCAAAATAACTGGGATGTTTCGATGCCTCTGCAAAAATATGCAAAACAGTTTGAAAAGGTTTACAGGTAGCGAGCCAACAATTAAAAAATACATAGTTTCTTTTAAAAGATTTTATATTTATGGTTTTTATGAGGAAGGCACTGTATAGTCTTGTGTAGTGTAAATCAGTATTATGTTCCAAGTTTCCATCATAATCCTTATCAAGTTAATTGATTAAAAAATGAATATCCTATCTTATCTAACTTGGCTAGTGTGGCAATCAAAACCCTTCTTCCAATTACACCATTTCAGCTATCACAGTAATTAAAATGCACATCAAAATGAGCCAAAACCACATCTGTGTTGCAATTATCCAAATACCAGACCCAGATATTCACAAATAATAAAAAATGTTTGGTCATACCACCTGCACTAGTCTGTTCACAATTGTTTTCCTTTATTTGACATTATTTACAACTGCATTTTGCAAAGAATAAACCTTACATAAGAATGATTGTTTATTTCTTTGTACAGTGAAATATCGGTATAATGAAATTGAGGGAGAACCATTGAAATATTTTTGTTATTCTGAAATTTTTTTATATTGAAACATAGTCAAAAATGCAAGGATAAAAGAAATTTATTGATTAAAAAACATTTTGAAGTAAGAAAGTTTTTCTAAATGTAATATTTTTCAAAATGTAAGTTATAATAAATTAGAATAAAAATTAATCTGTAATAATTATCATAAAATATCACTGGTGAACAACTAAAATAACGATCCAGAAGTACTGATTAGTTGGAATCCCACCTATTTAATTGTTATTTCTGCTTGTAGCTGTTATTTTCTGGTAAAAGAAGTCTAAATTTTGTGTGTGTCATTTGTTTAATCAAAGTTTTTTCGATAAAATCCAGTACCGCGACACAGCATTTCCCATAAGCTGTCAGGCACATCTTTTTATTTAATTCCTTTTTGCACATTATCTAATATTTTATTCTTCTCTTCCAAAGAAAACTGTTTGTTTTTCTCTGTTTTTTTCTTGTAAACTTAAAAAGAAATAAACTGTAGAGTAATAAATAACATCAACACAAAACCATAACCAAGGATTAAAATTCATGTTGCCAGATTGTTTGACATATTAATCATTTAGTAATAATGAATGATTTATTCATTTATAGATTTTGTTATAATGAAAATATTCTTTCACAATGGACAGAACTTTTATTACATTAAACTGAAATTTTCATTATAATGGTATTTGTTAAATTGAAACATTTTTGCATTGAACTGAATAAGAAATTGGCAGGGGATTTGAGATATTCATTATACCAAAAATTTTGTTTAACTGATGTTTGTTGTACCATCATTTCACTATATAGATTTTTTGTAATTCATTAATCTATATAATTTTCATCACGTGCTATGTTTATTATTTCTGGTAGAGGGGTGTACAATCAAAAAAAGTTTGAGTACTACAGCACTAGAATTTAGAAGTATTTAGAAGATTTATTCCAATTTTCTTGTTACTTTGAGTTTGAAATTTGGAGTGTTTTTGAACAAAAATAGCAAAGTTAAATCTCTAGTAAAAAAAATATTTTTTATTCTTAATATTAAAGAGTCATTTAATATAGAAAGCATAAGAAGAGCTTGATATTTCAGTTATCGTGTGAAAGTACAACTAATTAAATCGGCACTGCACTACACCGGGATAGAATAATCAAAAAACAACGTACAATGAACCTGTTTCCGGTGTGCTTCTCTGTAAACGAAGTATTACTAGCGCTTTCGAACTTTAAGTTCTTCCTCAGGTAACATGTCCAAGCGAACGCCATTCAAATTTGATTGAAAAAAGAACATCATTACGAATTTTCTCGTACGTATCGCTGGCGTCATTGACGCATGCGCCCCTTCGCTGGTTCTAAATTAACGTAACTTTTTGTCTACGAGCACCTGCCATGCAGTTGACAGGATGATCTCGTCTTTGTTGTTAATGCAATTGTCGTCTTTAAGCGTAGCCATACATATGTACAGGGCCTCTAGCCATCTAAGGTGGTGTGTGTACTTTGTAGTGCGGATTACCTTGGCCTGGCTGAATAACGGTTCTATTTCCGTATCCGAGGCATAGACGGCAAGAGCGGTGTTTTGCCTTGCATGTAGAATATCCGCCATGTGTTNCCTACATGCCGAACTAAGACATATTGAACAAATAGCCAACGAACATGGTTATCCCAAGATCGTACGTAAATTGATCCGCAAATGGCGCTGCCGAGAAGTAGCCCTTAACCAAGCACCCAAGGAAGTTCCATCTAACATCATCCCGGTTACATACAATCCGTACCTGAAATCAATTTACAACACAATAGCGAAGAAAAAGAATATTCGCATCGCGTATAGAAGATGCGCCACAATTTTTGACATTTTACGGAACGGGAAAGATACCCCAAACAAAGAACGACGCCCAGGGGTATATACCATCCCAATGATTGATCATAGATGGAACAGAAGCCTGATATACGTAGGATCCACTAAGCGCTCCTTAGAGGTGAGAATTAAAGAACACATGGCGGATATTCTACATGCAAGGCAAAACACCGCTCTTGCCGTCTATGCCTCGGATACGGAAATAGAACCGTTATTCAGCCAGGCCAAGGTAATCCGCACTACAAAGTACACACACCACCTTAGATGGCTAGAGGCCCTGTACATATGTATGGCTACGCTTAAAGACGACAATTGCATTAACAACAAAGACGAGATCATCCTGTCAACTGCATGGCAGGTGCTCGTAGACAAAAAGTTAAGTTAATTTAGAACCAGCGAAGGGGCGCATGCGTCAATGACGCCAGCGATACGTACGAGAAAATTCGTAATGATGTTCTTTTTTTCAATCAAATTTGAATGGCGTTCGCTTGGACATGTTACCTGAGGAAGAACTTAAAGTTCGAAAGCGCTAGTAATACTTCGTTTACAGAGAAGCACACCGGAAACAGGTTCATTGTACGTTGTTTTTTGAAAGTACAACTATTTATATGTTAATCCAATAGAGTGGACAATCTATAAATTTAAGAGCATCATGTTATATCTAACGTTAGCTCAACAAGTTTGGTATTCATCAATTAATTGGCATTCAACCAATACCAAGTAGTGTGAATGAGTATTCAGTATTCATTGTTTCCCACTCCCTGTCAGTATATCGTGTCAAATCAAAAAGGACAAATTTTGGACCAATATTCTTAATTTCCATAACGAACCAATGCTTGGCAAATAATCACACACGTTTACATACATGCCAATCACGTGACAAACATTTTGGTAAATACTTTGGTGAAAGACAATTATTTGGCATTTGGCAAATACTGTATGTGTGGAGCCATTTTGCTCTAAGGATGTAAAATTTAAAAAAATATTCAACAACTATTAACTATCCATTTTTTGTATTCTGTATTGCATTGAGTTGCTAATTAATGTCAAATTTCAACAAAACTTTACTACATTGCAGCTTTTATCTTTTGTAGCAATTTTAATAAAAACAAATATTAAGTAGTTTGTTGGAAAGCTGCATCATAATTAAAGCTTGTACTTACAGAAATTTCAAAAATATTTCTAAACATATATACATATTTCAAAGAATAAAAACAAAAGTGCAACACCAAATTAAAAATATATATATATAAGACTATATAGAAATCATATTAAAAATACATTTAAATTACAATTTTTAGTTAATGTACCTTCTCTTATAATAATTTAATTCTATTTATGTTAAAGTAATTAAAAAAAAAACCTAATTTACTTATTGAACATTTTATGCAATAGAAAAAAAATCAAAGAAATTAATATTCAGGATCAGTGAAAATATTCTCTTAAAATGTTTCTGTTTTCTGGAATTACATATACAAAAATGGTATAACTTCATATAAAAAGTAACTTAATGTCTATTTATTTTAGTTCAATTTTAAAATTGACCTGAAGTAAATTTTAATGGAACTAAAAAAAAATGTAATTAACTTTTGAATTATGTTCTTCAGTCTAGATCAGGGTTTCTCAATGAGGGCAATATCGCCCCCATGTGGGCGTTTTTCCATGTTGAGGGGGCGATTAGTAACAATTTATATTTTGGGGGACAAAAAACAATTTTCTGGGTGATATAGTAAAACATTATAGTAAGAATAATTAGATATTTAATTTGTTATATCATACAATAATTAAACAAATAACATTATACTAGTCACTAGTCTATTCAATGCAGTACGAATTTGGCGTTAGCCTTTGCCCTCTGCATCAGAATTTTGAAGTGAATGGGGCGATACTACGTAACAGTTTTATTGAAGGGGGCGACAATTTGTTAGAGATTGAGAAACACTGGTCTAGATAATGTAATAATCTGCATACTGTCTTTGCTGAAATCAATGAAAAGAAATAATGTGACAGAATAAATGTATTATATGTATTAGTATGCTTTGGTAGTAAAGACAAATTTAATTAATTGTTAAATGGATTTCTGTGTAAGTAATGCCAGAAAAGAGAGAATTGTTTGAATAATTACAGTATGCATCAAATGCAGCATTGGAAAACTGCAACGTACTAAAAGAAATTCTGATATTCTCAGATGAGTTTGTCAGTGCAATAACCGATGCATGTTGCTCTTGTTGAACCGTGGATATGACGAGCTTCGATGAAGCAATACAGCTGTCTTAAATGTTATATTATTAACACCATTTTACTACTACTCTGTCCATATTAACCCAAAGTTATCTTGACAAAATAAGTCTGTAAATGCCACTATAGTGCTGTTTGATTTTGCCATCTTGTCAGATTTGCCAGACATTCTGGTAAACGCTTATTAAACCATGTACCAATGTACTGGTTGCATGGCAGAGACCGATGCATACTGAAATGTACCCTACATTTTTTATTATGCATAAATTTTTATTAAAAAGTATATATAATGAAATATATTTTTATACTGAAATATTAAAATTTCAACAGCCAATTAGTTAAATAAATTGATTGTAATTTAAAATTAAGAATACAAATTAAAAAAAATAAAAAAACAGGAAATAAACAATTAATAACTTTATACATGTAGTTTGCATACATATATTAGTTTCTGCACTTACTTGATAAAATATTACATGCAGATCAAATTCTAATTGCTATCATTAGGAGACAGATCATTATATTAGAGATGGTTAGAAGTAAGTTAATGAATAATGACATTAATACAATTATTTTCTTCATCCATGCAATTCTATTAGTTATAAATTTACTATTTTAATAAATAGTAAATGTTATTTATCTCTTTAAGAAAACAAGGATTGCTTGAATACATGGAACTTAATTTAAAATTCATTTAATTTGTTGTCAAAACAGACCATTTCAATATTTTATTAAATGTATAATTTTTATAAATGTTTGTGCCACTGCCAGAGGAAAGATTGTAGCATTTCGCATGTTGAGCTGGACGAGAAGCCTCCAAACAAAGGTTGACTCTGCAGTGAAATTGTTATCTCCCAAGGGTGTACGAAAAGGGACTAAAACAGACACTTTTACAGTTTGTCTATTGGAAATCTTTTTAAATTTATAAAGTTTAGACCATTTCAAATTTGTATTCACTCGAAAAGCTTGACTATTTCAATTTTTAAGTTCGTTCAGTCCATAAGAAAAGAATCTGGAGCTGAAGAATATCTTAAAAACTCTTGTCCATCTATCATATTTTATGTAATAAAAGATTCACCCATTTTAGCACAAAATATTTAGTGATAAAGTATTTTGTGTATTTAATCCATTCTACATAAGATAACTGTGGCAAGGTATGATATAAATAGGTAGTACTACTTATAAGTGCTGAGGAAATGTTACTGCTTAACTTTGAAGAGTTGAATGCATATGACAAATGATCAATTGATAATTGTCTCATGTTATCTAATTAATATTTGCCATAATTCCATTTTAAAATAATTATATGTTTAATTAAACAACAACATTTTCATTAAAGAGTTGGACTGTAGCCTACTTAAAATCATTTGGGGAATTATTAGCCTATGAAAGATTGCAACTTCACATAAGGTGAAGGGCAATTTTTGATCTTTATTTTGAACAGAAGTTGTCTTGTATACTGTAATATATGGCAATTTAGAATGCTTTTTTTAAATGAAGGAACTTTAAACTTCTAGAATACAGCATATCACGGGCAACTATATATAGTGCACCATATATAATTTTAAAAAGATTTTTTAAAATTTATAATACATTACATTTTTATGGTACAGGAATGGTCAATGTGCCTTCTTGCTTGTACTGTTACTATAGGACACTGCCACACAATTACCCAAAAATTTGACAAGTTCAGATGCTATGAGTCCAATTTTGTTCTTACTAAAGGACCTTCTGGGAATATTGCTTGTATCTGAGGTACAACTGTCGATCTCATGCTACCTTCTGGATCAACCGCATGTACTTCTTGAAAGAAACATGTGGTTATAACATAATATTGTGAAAAGTCCATCGTTTATATTCAGGTAATGTAATTAGTATTAAATCTTCTAAAGCATTCAGTTCTCTTTCAAAACTTTCATTAAGAATATCATGATCATCATCTTCATTTTTAATATATGTTCTCTCCACTTCTCTTAGTGAAGCAAAATGTGGAATTGCTATTACAAAGATGATCAAGCCTTGTCACAATAGGAGACATACACTGCCCATCAGAAATATACAAGATCCACATCCTCTATTGGAGTATCTATTGGAGAAATGCCTCCTCTGTTCATAGTACTTCATAATTATCATTGTTCTATAGTAAATATCACTGTTAATTTACTTTATTGCCTAACCATTTCATTCCTTCGACTTTATGAATTAAACCTAATCTTTCAGTTGCCCGTTCAAGGTTAAGTTGTGAGTTTCACTTAAAATATGTGTACATCAGACTATGTAATAGTCAGAAAACTTACAAAAACATTATATGTGTGTAAGTAGTATGTACCAAGTTTGTAAAAGAAATTGTGTAAGTATAAGGGAGCCTCAATAAAAATGTAGAAGAGCCACACGCAGTTTGTGAGCCACAGTTTGGCCACTCCTGCTCTATTATAACTAGTCCTAAAAATTTTGTACTTGCTGGAATCAACTTCTAAAATACATGCA